CTTGAACACACAGCAAAGGCTACAGCCAACAGTCAACTAGCACATACACGTCTGGGCCATCATTTTAGTCAAACTTTGGTAATGAGTAAACATTTTCTAATATCCACTAAAATGTTTAGAACAGCCCATTAAATATGATCTCTATTTACCGTTCCCATTACAAAATAAATGTAACTGTAACCTGTAAAGACCTAGACACACCAAACGGACTTCAGAGAACCAGCCGTGAGGAAGGCCCCTTGTTGCGTCTCCTGGCGTTGCCGTGTCTCTGCCGAAAAGCTGCACATGAACACACCACAAAGACTACAGCCAATGGCCAACCAGCATGTATATTCTGCACCTGCATGAGAGGAAATAATTCTCCATACCAGCAGATGGCAGTTATATGTAATCCTCATTCAAAAAGAGAAAGCGGAGGACCATCTTGACGCTAGTAAGCCAGTGAGCACATTAACAACATAATCCAATGTCTAAAGAACAGAGCATATTTATTTATTTCCACACATTTTTCAGCTTTATTACTCAAAACATGAATTAAAGTATTTAAATGATGAAGTAATTAAGATAGTTATATTAAGTATTACATTTAACAGGGTCACTAGTAATCTGTAACCGATTACATTTAAAAGTAACCTTCCCAACACTGGTTAGGATGAAACACAACTTACAGCTGTTACCATCAAGTCCAGTATTTGCTGCAGCTGAGGACACCTGACTTGCGAGAAAGGATGAGTAACACCAAACTAGACGTAAAATGAACAGTGCTTTTGCCGCTAGACACCTTCCCTTTTCTTCCTTGTGATGCCTGAATCAGTTGCCGCTGCCTCCTCACCTAATCCATAACGTAATGTATTGTAACAGAGTTCCAGTGTCTTTCTGTACAGTGACATATTTCAAAGCATCATGATTTTGTTGAGGTTTTAGTGAGTAGATGACCACAGCACTAGAACTTGTATCCGGTTCTTTCTTTGCAATACAACTGTCTTCCTGTAAGCTGAGATTTAGTCAATAAAATGAGATTTCTTGGTGGAATGAGCTTTGGTATTGTTTTTTTTTTTTCACCCATGAGTGATGCATTACAACAAAGCAGGAGTGTTCATTAATAGCATAGTTAGTATGTACAGTACAGTGTGCAAGTTTGTCTCGTCCCAGGAGATACAGTTCAGTTTAGGACTAGATGCTACAATCCCTTGATGATCCTTGAGACTATGGGCAGGAGTGATAGTGCCGTTTGAGAGTTTCTGAGTGGGAGTTATGGTTAGATGGATAGAAAATTAGGAAAGAGCATAGAAAAGTAAGATGGAGCATGGGGAAGGCAAAGCCAAGGAGAGACATCTCTGTGGCCTAAATTCTCCCCCGCCAGAGCAGGCCGTACACTCTACCTCCCCCCGGAGAGGGGAGAAGAGAGAAAAAACTAACAGGAGAAAACTTACCTAACTTTTATCAAGGTGGAATTTAACTGGTCAAATTCCCTGTTGCACATTCATAAGATAATGAGTGATAGTTTTTGAATGGGAGCCATGTTGGGGGAGGGGTGGGGGTTGGGGAGGGTAAAAACTTAACTGGGGTCATCAGGTGAGTAAATACCTTCACTGGTGTCAATGATAAGCCCACAACACCTCCAGAGGGCTCATCGGCAACACCTGGCATCCCAGATGCACCCCCCCCCCCCTCTGCTTTTACACCCTCAAACCCTGCTGTTGTTAGTGTTATTTCGGGGCCAAAGTGGTGCCTCTCCTTTTAATCCATAGCCACTGGCTTGCCTATTCGGTTGCGCTAGAGAGGGCTTTGATAGCCTGACACTGGGCTTTGCCTTGAATTCCCATTTCCTTAAGCAGCTTGGTAGTTGACTTGCCACAAAGCCTCTGCCGCCAACGTAAACCAGGCAAACCTTCGCTTTCCAGCTGCGTTGCTCAGTGTCAGCTGCCAGCTCGGCATTCTTAAGTTGCGTTTGGAGGCCTCCTCCACAGCACCCTCCCAGGGCACAGTGACGAGGCACAGTGATGAGGACCAAAGCACGAGGTCTGGACTGAGGTGAGTAGAAGTAATCTCAGATGGGAAGCGTAGCCACTGATTCAGATCTGCCAGTAACCTACCAGTCTCTCAATCTCAACCTCAGTGGTATAGTGCCTTTCTAGTCATCTAGTGACCACTCAAAGCACTTTTTACACTACGAGTCACATTCACCCATTCACACACACATTCATACACTGGTGGCTGAGGCTACCATACAAGGTGCCACCTGCTACTCAGTTTTAACACACTCACACACCGATGGAACAGCTATCGGGAGAAATTTGGGGTTCAGTATCTTGCTCAAGGATACTTCGACATGCAGCCTGGAAGAGCCCGGGGTCGAACTGCTGATCTTTCGATTGGTGGACGACCCACTCTACCTCTGAGCCACAGCCTCTCCCAGTTGGCTGGTGTCTGATTTTACGGCATGATGGAGGAGGAAGGGTATTGGTGGTGGTCCGTCTGGTCTCCAGGTTAGCTTCTAGACACTTCAGCACCTGCTTGTGCTGCCAGGTATAACGACTTTGTGGAATGTGTTTCTGGTTCGCTGGAGATGGGCAGAGGGTGAAAGTAGGGTCTGTTCCGTACCATTGGCTGAGGTTCTTGAGGTTGGACATGGCAGGACACCCTATGTGGCTCATATTATGAGGCTGATTTGAGATGCTTCCATAGGCCCGTTTCCACTGAAGAAGTTCCTAGTACTATTTGGGGGCAGCAACTACTACAGGAACGTCCTCTCACTTGGCCCTCTCAACTGCCGTGTCTCCACTGACAGCGGAGTACAAGGAAGGTTCCTGTAAAGTTACGGGCTCTGGATGTGACGTAATCATTGCGCGATTTCTTAGTTACAACATGATTGAGCTAACTGGAGTAGTTTCATGTCGTATCTGACAGCGGGAGGCTTTTAACAGATGACGTCCTGATGTTAGCTTTGCTGCTGTTAGCTGTCCCTGTCAGCGGCAGCCACTGATGCTTTCTAGACATCGTGATTTCCCAAATCTGAATAAATACCACACATATCAACACAAAACTGCTTTGCTAGCTCAATCATGTTGTAACTAAGATATCCGCTGGAAAAAATATTTTTTCACGGGCCATTTAGTGAGTTTTTTTAACGTGGCGGCGGAAGCTATATGAACGAGCTGACCCTCGTCTGCTGAGTTTTAAAAATGCCGGCTATTTTGTTGCTTTCTGTTGACATCACATCCCTCCTTGAGTATATCCAATCAGCACCAAGTAAATCCCAAGCCCCAGCCAGGAGTCTTTCGGGGCTTTTCTGAGTACCTACTCCGAGTCAGGGACTTGTTTAGCCCCCGTAATAGTTCCTGAACTCTGTCCTTTGGGGGTGGTTCCTGTGGTGGAGACACGCACCAACGGCCCCGGCCCCGTAAAATTACCCCTAAGTTCCTGCGGTGGAAACGGGCCTCATGTCCCACAACTCCTTCCAAGAGAACTTTCTCCTCTCAACTCCCTCCCATCACATCTGACAGGATATAATAATTCTGTGGCATGTTCATGTCAGACCTTTATAGAAATTGGCTAGTTAATTTTGTTTCTTTTTGTATCTGTTTTGTACTTTGTGAGAAAAAAATTAAAGAAAACAGGATTTTAAGTGTTTCTAATTTACTACACTTTCAGAGGATGAATATTAACAAATAAGGAATAATAATCGGAATACTAGAAATTTGTAAAAAACAACAACAAAGTGTGTGGTGGTTGTGCTGCTGCTGTGGCTCTGCCTGATGCCTCCTACTACTGCTATTATTTTAAGTCATACCTCTACTGTTATTATATACATATGATTATTATTGTCACATACATGTACTATCATATATTAATATATACTTACAACATATGCTACCACAATTACTGTTATTTTAATTCTATTACTAAAATTAATGTTATTGTAGCTATTGTCATAAGTTTACCCTGCTTCTTTCTGTCTCTGTCTCTGTCTCTGTCTCTGTATGTATCATTTTGTCATATGTTGATCCATACTGTACATCTATTGCCCGTCTATCCGTCCTGGAAGAGGGATCCCTTCTCAGTTGCTCTTCCTGAGGTTTTTTGGGGGGGACTTTTTCCTTATCTGCTGTGAGGGACAGAGGGATGTCATATGCTGTAAAGCCCTCTGAGGCAAATTGTGATTTGTGATATTGGGCTTTATAAATAAAATTGAGTTGAATTGAATTGAATACCAAATGCAGCCAGCTAGCTCCTGTTAACAACAGCAACAATGCTGTAAAGAAATGCATTGCAAAAACACCTGCACTTATGTCTTTTATTCGCTCTACAAGGCTACTGATGCTACTAATCTTGCCAGGTAACTAGCCAGGTTGGCTTGTGAGCATGAATTATTAGCATCTGATTAAAGTTGCCAGTGTAAGCAGCAGCTGCCTGCTTAATTCATTGCTGAGTTACTTCAGCAGGATAATTATAACGATGTTCCTCAAACAGTCTGATGAGAAAAAAGTACATCTTTCTCTTGGTTGCTCTCAGCTAGATAGGAAATAGAACAGAATAGAATAGTGGACCTAGTCATGGCTAGGGAAAAGAGGCCAACTTGGCATACTGATTTTGTAATGATAGCTGATTTTGTAAGAGCTAGAGGTGTATTTATTAAAGGCCAACTGATAGACAGGTGGTATTTATTAGCATCTACAAGCATTTCGCATTGTCGTGCTGAGCAGTGTGTCAATTCATACTGCTTTTCTATTTGCTGGTTAATAGACGTGGGTGGTAACAGCAGTCACACAGTGAGATGGTCATCCCAAAGTTCTGACAGTCAGAATTTTATCCCAGACTGCCTTTGATCGTAAGATCATAAAATCTGCCATCCTTGAACCTCTCTCACTGTGCGACATAGGGCCAACCTTTTATACCACGACCAGATATCTTTGTATTTTCAAAAAAAAAAAAAAAGAATCTAAATATTTTAATCAAATAAAATTTTTTGCCACCAGTCATGAAGAAACACAAATATCTTACACAATGTTGACCAAAATATTTATTCTTGACAATTACATGACCCCTGATGCTCCAGTACAAAAAGTTGCTTTAAAATAAGGACCATGACAAAAGTGGCATGGAATGTGATGAGTAGTGTGTACCAGGACAGACTGCTTTGCATCTGAGGAGATAACCACATCCTGCTACATGTATCATTGCTCTAGTCATTGTAGGGTTAACACAACAAGCCAAACAAACCAAAGAAAAATAAGAACATGAATTTCAAATTATTAGAATATCTTAGAATTCAGCCCTGAGATTAACACATGGACAATACATTTTTTTAATCCAAACATTCTCCAAAATCTGTATTTGGTACAATGCAAACTGCTTGTAATCAAGAACGATAGCAGTAGAAATGTCACAGCAACAAAACATTAAATACACAAAACAAGGATGGCACAAATGAAAGAGATGTGGCATTCCAGGATAAAGACATTTAGATTATGTGTGTGTGTGTGTGTGTGTGGTGTGTGTGTGTGTGTGTGTGTGTGTGTGTGTGTGTGTGTGTGTGTGTGTGTGTGTGTGTGTGTGTGTGTGTGTGTTGTGTCCTGCTGCTGCTGGTGAGAAGAAGACAAAGTCTTCAGCCTCCTCTGTGTGAATATCTGCTGACATGGAGCCATGGCTTTATGGATCTCACAGTAAGCACAATGCTGCCCCTCATAGTGCTATACAAAATAAAGGAGATAAGGAGACTTCACACCAGTCGGTATAAGCTGACAGGCCAAGGCCCTGACCTCAGCACCGGATTCACCAAGTACCACTAATATTAATCTTAGTACATGGTCTAAGTCCTCAAGAGTCAGCATGTCGAAGGGTTTATTAGTAACTCACCTACCATGCCCCTGGTATCAATAACAACAAAGTCTGTAGAGGAAAGTGCATGGAAGCTGCCTTCAGTCATCAAGAAGTCCAAAGAAAGTTGATGTACATCCACTGATTTGTCATTGCACCACAAGCTAGTGAGAACAAGAAAGACTTTATGTACCTCTCGTCAGATAAGGCTTCGTCAGAAAAGTTCTGGTAGAAATTCACCATGTAGGCCCAAGTCAAGACATGAAAATAGACTATCAGGAATCTTTCTATTACTTTATGTACCTGGCCATTCCTATTAAAAGTAAGATCCTCGATGTCAGCAGAGAATTTCGCCAACATAGATCCTTCTTAATTTGAAGTGACACAGGTGAAGCTGAGTGGTGTAAAATAAACGACTTTGTTGTGGTACACTCAAAGCAATGTGAATACTGTGTTGCAAGATTCAGAAAATGAAACTGAACAGAAATTACTTTTTGCAGCTCTGGAGAAGCAGCAGATGACTTGCATTGAAAGAAGTCCCTTTACTTTCTAAGAAAAAAAATCAAGCCTGCTTTAATTATCTTCTTACAGGACTCTCAACAAATCCTACTGAATTCTCATTAGGATACCAATTGATTTAAGGGCTGTACAGACCAATAACACGGACACATTTCAATTCTCCAAGCCTGAAGCGGGACACAAAAGTGCTTTAAGACAAATAAAATTACTAGGGGTCATCCAGATTGTTGGTTGACCTGTGAACCTCAAAGAACCTTAAGTAAATGATACAATGTGGGGAGGCAGAGGATCAGACATGTTCACAAGTACTTCTGTCACAGTACTTGTACCTGTCACATGTGAAGAATACATTCAAACACATGGTTTAGTGCCCTGGATAACATCAACTGGGGCCAACATTTAGTGCAAGTGTCATTAAGGTGTATTTGAGATTTGGCTTTTGAAGCGCTCTTTGTGAAACTCAATGTAATAATTCCATGTGCTATGATGTAAAAGGGGTTCTGTTCGATATGAAACCCTGTTATGTTGACAGAGTCTCCCGCCAACCAGCCCTTTCTCTGTCTTGTCTTTAAATAAAACCAGTATCTCCTTAACTGGCTTGATATTTCAGCTTTTATTAACTTAACCAATAACTTAAAAACACACAACCAAACCTCTTGGACAACTGATAAGAAGCCAATAAGAAAACTCCAAGAATAAATAAACCAAATAAAATCAAATACTTACAAAATCTTTAAAAAATTAAATATCTTTGATTGTTATTCATATTTAATCCAAGAACAAAAAATCCTTATAAATAAATACAGAGTGATAACACAAAGAAGTTGAGAGTAGGTTTCCCCAGTCTGCAGTTGCTATTGGTGTCAGTTTGAGGAGTACCAGAGGATTGGACTGAGGGAGGTTTCAGTGACTGGGTGCCTCCAGCCACAGTGTCAGAGGTTAACAGTACAGTTGAAAAGCAGAGGGTGAAGTTAAGGTTTACAGGTGCTAGCTGTCAGTCAGAAGAACCTCAGTCCACAGTTGCCATGGTTACCAGCAGTAGCGCAAGGAATGGCCCTGCAGGATGTTGCAGCTGAATGTCTGGATAAATAAACAGTAAAACATATTTCAAAGTAATGAATTCATCTCAACACATTTCTTCTTGAAAAAAGCCTTGACTTTAATACTTCTGATTAAACCAGCCCTGCGGTTGTATGCCTCTGCGCACCAGTCAATTTTCCCTCCATTTCTGTGAAAACAAAGATGCTTCACACACATTTTCCCCTCGACAGCACAGACAATCTATACAATCAGCACAGTTTCAAGTTGGACACCCAAGATCAGTGTCACCAATTCAGTATCTGACCAAATGTCTTCCCTTCTGTTCCTGAGATATGAAGCTGAATAATGGCCAGAAAAGTGTTTTATTCAGAACATTATGATGTCACAGTGAAGTTGAAATTTGACCCTTTGGATACTTCATTATTTTATCCTATTAGGGATTTGTGGGAAGTTTTCTCATAACTGACATATGAACTCTTGAGTTAACTCTTGAGTCCTAGTATGGGTTGCACTCGGAAAACCTCCAACATTTCACATAACACAACAGCATCTGTCATGAGACCCCCATGCCCCCAACACGCTGTTATTAATATGCAGTCTCAAACTTGGGTTTAGAGGCTACTTTTACACAGTTTTGGAGACCAATGAGCAATTTTTTTTCTGAAACTTGACTCCAGAGCTGCAAAGGACATTGAAGCAAAGCAGGTATTCACTAACCTCATGAGATGTCTACTTTGTCACCTGGAATCCCATCGGTTCCCTGGAGGGACTATGAATGTCTTGTTCTGCGGATGGATGAGGAATCACAAAATATTTAGTTAATAATACAGTCACACGGGATATCTTTCCAACAGCAGACTGCTGTTTTTCTGTAAGAACACAAACATATCTAATTCTCTTGATTTTATAGTTAACTTGGACATTTTCACTGGTCACTGGTTTCACAAACATAAAAGTGCAATTATTTCTGCTCACCTTGTGCTTTTTACACTTCATGGAAAAGTTTTCTTCAACGAGTACACAGTCTGCTGGAACAAGAACACAAGAGGAGTTAAAGACACCCCACTGATTCACCCAATTGGCCACCTTCCCACACATGCAGGTTCAGGTTCAGGCTCAGTGGAAGTGCCTCAGGGACATTAATTTATTAATGTTCATTATTGTTCTCCTTAAATGGTCCCATTTCTCCAGTTGGGAAATCATTCTTCTGACGTGGGTGTGTGCATGAGCTTTAAAGTTGTAATGTAAAAACAAGATGGATACTACAAAACAAATGTGTTGTATTTTATTTGATATTTTATTTAAAATTCACTTAACACACATACAATGCAATACAATAGTATAATGTAATACAATACAATACAATTATATTATTATTATATTGCATTACTAATAATTAAATAAAAAAAGAGAAATACATTACTGCATCATTATATTAGGCCAATATTTTATCATGATTTCTTTTTTAATTTTTGGCATAGCCCCTTCTGACAAAAACTAGCCACTGGCATGGCAGAGAGCAGCAGCACCTACCTGACTCCAGAGCACACCTGTAGTGGTACTTGTTTGGACAGCCTTTGAAGAAGCAGCCCAGTGTAGCACCAGAGTCACTGCATGCTGAACACATCTGGACACACAGCAGATAAAAGAGTGAATGGAGACATCATGTACATGCTCACAGCATGCTTAGATACAAAACACAATCTGATATAGCTTACAAAGATAACAATGAATGAGCCTTAAAATAATGCAGAAAGTACTTACAAATGACAAGTAAATGTATATGATTGAACTCCTGATTCATGAAGTAGGCTGAGTTTTTGATAGAAAAGCAGCACAGTAGAAAAGCTCTTTTGAGATCTCTCTGTTCATTTACGGGTTTGTAATTAAAGTAATAAAACTTATGAATTCTTAAGAATCAGAGGACCAGTAGATGCCTATTGACATAATAGCATTTCTTCAAAGTCTTTGTTAGAGCCATTTATGTGTTATGTTCATGTGCATACGTGTATATGAAAATACGTGTTCACTTGTAGTTCCTTCATGTGCACAGTAGGTGGTATTCGGAGCGTGTGTGTATGTAAATGTATAAGCAGGAGGAAGTAATCACTTCAGCAGGTGTTGCTTTCTGGTGAAGCATAACGTTTTTTTGACTGTCAGGTCTAGCGTGGCCAACAATGGACTCTTGTTTGATTTTGCATGCAAGTTATTAATGGTACAAGTACATGTAAACACGTTTGAGTATTGCTGCATGGACGCTGGTGAGTCTGAGTTAATCGACCCGCTGCACACAAAGGAGAGGCGTCAAATAGTCACTACAGCCCTCATGTATCAATATTTTTATAGAAATGTCCTACATTTATCACTGTGAAGAAAACGTGGTACAAACATTTTTGTATATAATCAACTGCACACTTGGCTCAAAGTAATTTGCCTGAGTAGGCCTTTTACCCAGCTGACATTTACTTTTCATACACATGGATGTGAGTTTTTTTCCCCTGGATCTTAAGATATCATAGCTAAAGTACACAATTTTTTTTTTCTTTTCCCAAGTATCCACAAGGAAGTTTGTCTGTGTTCAGCTCTAGCTCAACCTGCTGATTTGAGGACAGCAGTAAGCAGCATTATGTAGGGCTAGTAATTCCAACCCCTTATTAATGGGTCTGGGCGCAGGAAGATTATCAAAGGTAACGTAATATGCAAGGTACAATGTGCCCCACATTTCAGAGGCAATTAATTTATTTTAGATGTTATTTTAGTGGTTAACTTTTGACTGAGTTGCTGTCATGCATACCGCATGGCGCAAAGTGTCTCGTACTTCAGCGGCATTCAAAATGTGTCATGGTTGTTTAAGATTATGATTAAAGGCTTCAAAGGGCTCTTAATGCACCCAATATTTTTTGGGACAATGTTTCAAATACTTAACAATAAATTGTGCTAAATGATGACTGTTTTCTGAGTGTTTTCCCTTTTTTAGACTACTCAACTAGTCTTAATTAAAATGTTTGTTTAATCGACAGGGAAATTAGTCGCTAGGAACATCCCTAATGGGGACTGCTGCATTTCTGTGGCCAAAAATAGTTCTCTTCCTTTTGAATAACTACCACATGTTAAGATTTTTAATTTTGCTTGAGGTTTTTGGTCACATGTGCAACCAAAGTGGGGGCACTCTGGAGCCCTGAATCATAAATCTGGCAGATGTAATGGCATTTTGCTAAATATGCTAGATCACATGTTATTTTGTGTGGAGTCTGTTGAAAAAAGAAGGGGTTTGCTGTGGATTTTGCTGTTCTCTTGTGCACGCTTTTCAGGTTAGAACAGAGAAATTAGCTATTTAAATGTGATTAGCTCATCAGCGGAAAGTTCAATCTGCAACTGTTTTAAAAGTCAATTAATCATTGAAGTCATTTTTTTGCCAATAACTGAGTTAAGCGTTTTATATGCAAATGTGCTTTTTTTTGTTTTTGTCCTCTATGATTGGAATTTTGAGTATGTGATAACAGGTGGTATATACAAACGTTCAAAACTCCAGAGTTCCTTATGGTCGGGGTCATCCCTATATTCCCCGGGTTCTATGTTTCCCGGGTTCTATGTTCCCCGATCGGGGAACATAGAACCCTTTAAAAAAATAAGGGTCCTATGTTCCCCGCTTTCCCCAAAAGGAAATATGTTCCCCGCTTTGTATGGGACCGGGGAACAAAGAACCCTTTTTAAGAAAAAGGGGTTAGGGTTGGGGTTACAGTTAGGGTTAGGGGTTAGGACCCTTTAAAAAAAAAAAAAAAGGGCCTATGTTCCCCAGGTACTTTTGGGGAAAAGCGGGGAACATAGAACCCTTATTATTAAAAAGGGTTCCCCGGTCCCATACAAAGCTGGGAACATAGGACCCTTTTGGGGTCCCATACAAAGTGGGGGAACCCGGGGAACATAGGTACGCTCCCCTTATGGTCATATGATGACAGTGGGAAAATCTCCATTATGACATTCACTGAGGAAGACAGATGCGGTCGAAAGCTAAGGGAAGAAAAAGCTATTAAGTGGACACTGACTTCAGATCTGTCTGTTTCCAAAGAGAATAATTAAAAGTCACCCAAAAATAAGGAGTTAGATGTAAAAACCTATGCAGAAGCTGAGGAGTTGGTGAAACAGACAGAAAGGTCTGTGAGCAGCAGTGAGACAGTGTCACTGTTGACCTCAGCTTTTAAAAAGCAGCTTGTTAAAATGAACAACACTCCAAACCTTCACGTTATAGATTGGACATATTGTACAAATCACAATGTCTCAGTGTTGCTTGCCTGCACCAATCATTTCCAATCTTTTCCTAACTGACAAAAAACTGTATCTACTGGGTAGATACATCTGAAATTTATGATTATCCTAGAGGCTTAGGAAACATTTACGTAAACAGGCAGACTATTAATGCCTTATCATGCTTAGTGTTTTGTTCATTTCCAGCTCATTCCTATCAACCACATTTTCATGTGGATCTGCGTAACAATGTATTCACATTATAGGCTTAAAGTGCAGTTTACCGTCTCCTGGGCCACCTTGACAGCCTCCTCCAGTCCGTAGACTTTGCCCTTCACAAGAAACACACCTGCGGACCAGATGCCGCAGTCTTCGTGGAGCCAGTATTCACAGGGCTCTAGAGGCAGCACAGGGGGGCTGTACCAGTCCTCCACATCAGCAGAATCAGCATCTGAGCGAGCCTGCTTAGCTGCAGGACTACCAGCATTGTCAGCTGTCCACTGGTGACTCTCCAGGAGGCCCTTCTGCTGCAGCTGAGCTCCTGGCCTGAGGCGCAGTGGTGTGGGTGGAATGGCACACTTCCTCCCTCTGCCTCCGATACTGTAGGATGAAGAGTCTGAGTCACTGTAGTCTTCCTCTTTGAGGCCCAACATGCTGGCAGGTGTTTTGGTGCTTGGCTGGTACCCTTCAGGGTAATAGGGGCCATGAAGGTCCCCCAAGTCCATGGCATTAGCTGCCTGCCCACACAGGCAGCAGACGAGAGCACGCTGGCGTTGGCCATGCATGGATGCTCGGCCCACCTGCAAACAGGAAGTGCTAGGTACAACTGCAGAAATGAAGCCACAGAGGTGAGCCTGCTGCTGGCCCTTCTTGTGTTGCGTCCTTACCTCCTCGGGGTAGTTGATTACAGTACACAGTGATGACAATGACTGCTGACGCTCCATGCGGATAAATGGAGAGAAACTGTCTAATCTAAAGTCCCTTTTCTCCTCCTTGTAATTGACATACTTCAACTTGATCTCTGGCTCCTTGGGGGAGAACATGGAGGAAGACTGGCTCCTTTTGTGTTTCTTTTGCCTCCTCCTGGGAGTGCCCGCCCCCTTCGTCTTGGCAGTGACAGATATTTTTCTACCTGTAGCCTTGCCTTTGCCTTGGCTTTTCTTTGGAGATTTTGATGTTGGTGGTGCTGGGGGAAATCTTGCCATATGAATTTCCACTGAGGGGTCAGTGTGAGAAAGATGCTCTGGCTCCTTTGACTTTTTGTGCACATCAAACTGAGGACTTGACTGTGAAGAGAGTTTCCTCTTTGACTTGACAGTGCTGGTCTGTGGTGAGTATGTGGAGTATGAAATATGCTCTGTCTCCTTCTTTGACTTCTTGTGCACAGCAACCTGAGGGCTTTTTAGAGATGTGCTGCCATTAGACCTGCTAGAATGATTGACTTCAAAATCAGAGGTAGAGTCTTTGCTACTGTCAGTCTTAATGTTATTAGTTTTACCCCTTTTTACTGAAGTTACTGCTTTTTGTTTTATTGTTTTCACTGAAAAACGTGCTTTCGCTCTGTTTTTAATTTTTCCTACTGACAGGGTGTCATTCCTCTTAGGACTGGCTAATTTAGAATCACTAGCTGTTGATTGGGAAGCAATTGCTTTCTTATTGGTGCATATGCATCCTGACACTTTATACCTGCTTGAATTTATGTTCATAACAATAGCCTCCAACCGTGTCCCTCTGCTGGAACGCACTGGCAGTTTCTTTTCTCCTAAAGTTTTCTGCAGTGCCTTTGCATCCCCGTTCATGTGAGGAACGACAGCCTGGGGTTTGTTTTCGGAAACATCTGACACACAAATATCATCTGTCAAGTCAATCAAAGGCTCCAATGCTGCCTTCCGTCTATGGATAGGCTGCTTATTTTCATCACTTAAATCTAACCTTGCTGTACTATTGCTGATGCCAGTGCCTGGCTGAATGACCCCCTCTTTACTAAAGCCATCCAACACAACCTCATTGAGTTTACAGTTGTCGCTGCTGGGTGAGCTGGAGGCCTGAGGCAGGATGAACACATCTTCCACATCGTCCAGTGAGGTAGCAGAGGGGGAGACAGGGTCCTCCAGAGGACTGACGTACTCCCTGTTTAGTGAACACAGGTCTCTAGCACCCGCACTGCCTGCAACCACAGCTGGTTCCTGTTTGTTAGACATGAGAAAGAGCACCTCAGAGCCACTCCTCTCCTCATCCTCCCCTGTGGCAGGGGTGAGTGTCTCCAGTGAGAATTCAGCACATATTCCTGAACTTGAACAGCTATCACCCTGTCCATTCTCTAAACCCCCACTCTTCTCCCGAGAAAGGCTATGTTCCTCTTCGCCTTTTACATGCTCATCCATGTCCTCGTCACTGAAAATGACTCCACCATTTAACTCCTGAGGCTCCTGCTGTAGACATATTCCTCTATCATTCTCTGGTCCCACATGAGCCTGAGACAATGACTGAAAAAGTTCTGTCTGAGTGGCGAGGTCCACAGGCCCATCTACCTGCTCCAAGTAATGCTGGTTCAGTGCATAGCCAGTCTCCCCAAGCCCTGTATCTGAATCACAAGCAGGGTGGAGGGACAACTTGCTAATTGGTGGCACACCATACAGAGACGTATGTTGAGACAGGGAATCATGATTGGAAAAAACGTGAGACCTGCTCACGTACGAGAGGGTGACTGTAGTGTGGGAGAAGGCATTGTCTGGTTGAATTTGATCCCCTGATTGGAGAGTGGTGTCTGAGGAGCTGGTCTCTGAGAAAACTAATCTGGGGTTGCCAGTCCCTGAGTTTGGGTACCAGCCGGGGCTCTTGACCATCCGCAGGGCGTCAAGAGATGAGCTGTCGATAACACATTCCCCGCCTTTCCTGGCCAGGTCAATCACAGTGGGGATGCTGGAGGTGGAGAGGTCTTGAGGCTGGAGATCATCAAAGCTCCCAGGTGGCTGCTCCATAACAGCTGCAGTGGATAGAGAGGAGAAAAGACAGTGGTGCAGCTTGTAACAACAAGTTGTGCCCAGGAGGAAGCACAGATTTTTTTAAATTATTACTCTCTTTATTTAGGCTGGTCAACAACTCTTTTTATTTCGCCGGAGTAGATATACAGAGCCAAACCGATATTTACAGTGACTCTAGCTCATAGGTAAAAAATACTTTTAATCACTTAGCTACATCACTGTGACTGACCACTTTGTTTCAGGGTTTTTTCCTTACAACTTAAGTCAGAAGGAACGTTGACATTGGCTTAAGTGGCGTGTGCTTTAATTTTAATAACGTTGGAGAATATAATTAGCAGCTCTCACGATTTCCGTTTTGGCTCATTTACAGTTAACATTAACACTTGTGACTGTAAGGTTCAGCGGAATATGCCTTTTAAGACAATCGGCTGACTTTATAACCACCAACGCTGACAGGTCAGTGTTGCTACGTTAGTTAGCTTAGCCTAGCCACAGCGAACGTTAGCAAGGCCTGGCTTTGCTCCGGTAACGTTCCCGTAGGCCGAACTACATTAAATATCCAGCAATTTTAGGTGATTCTATATTAAAAACACTAAATCATACGCTACTGAACGCGACTTTATAGCTTTAACCAATCGATAACGATCACTCTTCATTTCGGCGATGTTTACTTCGCCAAGAAGCTCATTATTACGAGAACGTTCCAACTTTTATACCTCAGTGCTCCATATTGTTCGTTAGTGCCCACTACGACTTTGCAACTTTGTCTCAAGAAAAACAGGGGAATCTATTTTAAAATGTAAAATCTTGTTTCAGAGGGTGCTCGTTGCTGTATTAACGTTACATGCATTCCGAATTGAAGATAGGATACTAGCGGTTTAAATAAGTATGTTTTGTTTTCTCCTACCTTCCAAAATTCGGCGACAAGCAAATTATTATTAAATTGCAAATGACTTTTCGTGGAGTTTGGCAAGACGTTCTCACCATTTCCGAGAACGGTTCGCATCGGGGCAAGGCCCGGCTGGATGAACAAAGACAGAGCGGAGGTAATGGGCTGCGCAGCGCTGCTCATCAAAACTTACCCGGACGGGAGAGATCGTAGCGTTTTAAAACGTCCAGTTAAGAATTCCTCCCAGCCTACATCTCTTTCAACAAGCCATCTACTCTAACGGATCCCTCCAACTCTACTAAAGCCCCACATTAAATAAAGATCCACACTCACTTTCCAGGAACACACTACTCTGATAGCAGCAGTGTCAAGTTATTTAGAGGATAATGTGAAACTTCCGGATGCCTCCTTCATAATAAAACAATTAGTGATACGTTTCAGTGTTTTTCCTCTTTCATTTTAAATTAAATGATTGAAAAGTACAATTAAACCATATATAAAAGGCTCGAAATTACTAAAGGCATAATTCCTCTGAGTGTTAGCAGGAGGGCAGCCTGTTGTTCACTTTATTCACAATATTTTGCTCTTGTTTCAGCTGTTGCATGTACATGACAAAGCTTCTGAAAACTGAACCCAGGCCGAACAACCACCGATAACGCACACCTTTTTCCGTTTTCCTTGAGTGACATAAATGTTAGGCATGCCTTTTAGCTGTGTTGTCTAACTCTGGGTGGCTTGACAAGTAAATACGAGCAGCAGTGAAACAATTGTCAATCAGGTGTGGAAAGCAAAAAAAAAAACATTGAGGGAGCAAAGTGGTAGGACCTATTTCATATCAATTTAGGGACTGTTCTTAACTTATCACCATAAATGAGTTATTACATTTCTAAAACTTACCCTGATGTTTGAAAGTTCAAAGTTAAAAGATGAAAATATCCTGGAGTTAAGTAGCCTCGGTTTTTCACAGTTGTCGTGCATGCTGGTTAGTTTGTGCAAATTGTTTATTTTTGGAAAAATTTTAAATGAGATGTAAAATAAAGTGGTTTTGATGAAATATCACTATCTTTAGCTCAGATTTGGTTGGCTTATAGCACAAGCCTATGGCATTTTACATTGTATAAATTAGCCTAGCAACCAGTAATCTTTTCCTTTTCTCATATAAATCCAGGGACAACAGCGACATATAACAAAGGTAATGGCGTTGAGTATGGCTCCATTACAACTAACAAAGTCACTGATAAAAAAACTATTGTACTAAACACTTTTTCCAAACAAATATAACATGCTAACGTTATTAGCACAAGCCTGTGGCATTTTACATTGTATGAATTAGCCTAGCAACTAGCGATCTTTTCCTCATCTCATATAAAGCCAGGGACAACAGCAACATTTAAAAAGTTAACACAATTTGGCTCCATTACAACTCACAAGATTCACAGACTAAACAACTATCATACTAAACATGTTTTCCAAACAAATACAAAATGCTTATGTTATTAGTGCCAGCCGATAGCATTTTACATTGTATATATTAGCTTAGCGGCAAGCAGAGATTTCCTCTTCTTATATGAAACCTTGATAAATCCCAAAGTACAAATCCCTGAAGGATATATCACACACAAGACTTAAAATGTTATTTTAGTGGCGGCTTTACTGTCTTCACAATTTATTGTTTCTTATCTGTGAAATAAAAGTATATAGAAGCTTCGTTTCCACTAAGGGATGCTGTTGTCCCTGGCTTTATATGAGAAGAGGAAAGGATCACAAAAAAAACAACAATTGTGTACCTCTACTTTGGAGTAAAACATTGTACTGCAACATTTACTTGACAAATAAATGCTACTGGTTATACTGCAGTTTTAGATCTTTACTCACAAAATATAATAATTAAAATATGATACATTGTTATTCATTAAACTATCCATCAGTATGTAACAATTTAAAGCTGCTCTTTGAATAGAGGTAAAGTACATTGTCCTAATAACAGGCTCCCTCTCCTGAATACAGGACTTTGACTTTAACCTTTAATGTGTGCTATTAATAGTTTTGCTAAAGAAAAAAGTTTTGTGTAGGCCTCCTTCTTCCAGTGCTGCTGACAGCCTACCAACATTCTCAGTTACAGAAAGGGTCAAAATAAACCAAGTTTGCCTGGGGCCTCAGGCCCCAAAATCACTATATCTGCCCCTGATGATAATAAAAGCACAGCAGGATATAAGGAGAGACATAGAGTGATGTGTCCACATTTTTATTAATAATTCCAACTAAAGTCTGAGTAAAGCTGAAACTAAAACAAAGTAGACTGTAGAAGTCTAAAAAAGTGACTTTCCATCACTGAACACTGTTTATTAAATCAGACACTTTGTTACTGTGAGGAAAAGCTCTGCTCTGTCTGCTGCTCTGATCAGTAGATCAGCTCACGGGTTGGAATGAACCAACTCAAAAGGTGGTCCAAAAATGTGTGATTTTTTTTTTGTATTACTTGCTTTTGTCAGCTGCTGAAAATGCTCAATATGCTGAAAATAGTAAAATTATTCTTGATATATAGGCTGCCTTAATATAATCACCTGATTGTAGGGACTGATGATACCATAACTTGGCTCCCCCTAACTGAATAATGGGAATGCCGTTGCTCCACTTGCTCCATTGCTCAGGTGCCATAACACTATATTCAACAGAAATTTTGATTTTTATTTAATTTTTTAATTTTATTTACTTCAATGTTTTCACTCTATTGTCATATATACATATACACACAGGCCCGAAATATACACACACACACACATGCACAAACAGGATCTTTACGAGCACTAAATGGAGAGATGTCAGAGTGACTGTTCATAGACAGGCGCCCTGAGCGGTTTGGGGGTTCGGTGCCTTGCTCAATGACACCTCTCCAGCTACCAGTCCATGCTCCATATTTTTGGTCATGGTGGGGACTTGAGCCAGTGACCCTCCATAAAATGGTATGTTCTTGTAAACACATTAGATTTGACCTGTTTGATAAGATACATTAACATATACAGTTTGAAATTGAAAGAACATTAATGACGCTGTTATGGTTCTGTTTTAAGAAATGTTAAGCATGATTGATCTTAATTTTGTAAACACAATGAGATAGGCATGGAAACTTTTCAGACTTACTTGAATAGACAAATGGTTTGACTTGCACATAAACTTAATTGGAAGGATAATTCTGTTTAAAATGATATGGCTAAACTTCTTTTTATATTCCAAACTTTACCATTAATCCCCCCAAAACATTTCTTTATCCATCCATCCAATACCTTATTCACCTCTTTTGTCTGGTCTAATAAAGCACATTAGTTGAGCAGAATTATTCTTCGAAATCCAAGAACTGAAGGAGGTCTTACATTTTCAAATTTAGAACTGTATTATTATGCCTCACGGATGTTTTACATAGATCGCATAATTGATAACACAGCTGAAGAACCCTGGATAAATATTGAAAGCAAACAACTAAAGCCTAACAAACTTTTTACATGTCTGTTTACCAAAAAAACATTATAAAAGTATCTAATTTTGTCATAAGACATAGCACATTGAAATCATGGAATAAAATAAAAAAAATTATTAGGAGTGCAACTTCATATCCATAAAAATCAGTACAAGGGGACATGCATTACTGCATGTTAGGGCTTATGTAATCTCTCAAGACAGATTCTGCAGTTTACATTGTAGAATCTGTCGGCAGCCCTGTGTGAAAGACGACTAGGGGGGGGGAGGGCGGGGCTTTGAGTCTGAACGATGCTGCGCTTTAGCCAATCACAATGGAGGGGGCGTGGCCGAGACGTGCAGGTGTCCCCAGGAAATGTGTACCTACAGAAACAGCAAGCTCCGCGTCCATAGCGACCGCTCCACCCAAAACGCCGTCTCGTCAACGTGATTTTTTTTTTTTTCCAGCGGATGTCTGAGTTACAACATGATTGAGCTAACTGGAGTAGTTTCATGTCGTATCCAACAATGGGAGGCTTTTAACAGATGACATCCTGATGTTAGCTTTGCTAACTGTCCCTGTCAGCTGCAGCCACTGATACTTTCTAGACATCGTGATTTCCCATAACTGAATAAATACCACACATAGCAACACCAAACTGCTTTGCTAGCTCAATCATGTTGTAACTACGATATCCGTTGGAAAAAATATTTTATTCACGGACCGTTTATTGAGTTATTACCTTATTTTTATACAGTCTGTGGTTATTACAGACACCGCTAATGGCTAACGTTAAGAGCTAACGGTTAGCCCAGCTAATCTAGCAAGTCTCTGATATAACTAAACTCTGCTGGTTTTCTACCCAAAGTATTTGTAAACAACATGGCGATTCCCTGGGGGCACCGCCGGAGGGCGTGAGCGATCGCCGAGGCCCCTGCACTTCCGTTAGTTGAAAAACTCCGGCCTGTGCCTCCAGAGGTAAAGGAAGAAAAAAAATTATTTTATTTTTTTTTAACCGATGGATTTCCAGATTGGGGCTTATGTGTTTTTGCATAGTACGTTTTCCTTGATGTGCTTTGGTTTTATAGTTATGTCACTGTATTGCAAATTGTGATTGTGTGCTGTTGTATGCATGTATGTATAATATATGTATATATATATATATATATATATATATATA